GGTCGCGGGAGCGCGTCCAGAGCTTGCCCAGGATGACTCACGTCACGCTCGCTCTTGGCAGCCCTGGTGCGAAAAGCTTATTACGTCGCGTCTCTTTGTTGTTTCTGCTTCGTTTGTTTCTCTCTCTCTCTCTCTCTCTCTTTCTCTCCTCGCTCTCTCTCTCTCTCTCTCTCTCTCTCTCGGGAGTGTTGGCGAGAATAGCTTGTTAGGGCATTGCTCGCTCTGAAGTGCCACGTGAAGCCCTTGTGACGTCACCGCAGCCTGTTACGACTGGAGAACGAGCACCTTTGATCAACCCAACGCGCCCTCTTGGGCGCTTTTTTGACGTAACTCCTGGCCGTCTTGGGTCTCTCTTCGGCCGCCTTGTAGCCGTCGTGGGCCGTCTTCGAAATCTTCTGCCGTCTAGCGGCTCTCCTGAGCCACTCGGGAGCCCTGGTGGTGGTGGCCACTCGGCCGTCTTGGGGCTCTTTCCCACAGAAGCCGGGGGAAAAAAGGAGCAGCGAGAGAAGAGGGAGGAGGGAGAAGCAAATATAGAAGCGGAAGGAAGGATGAGATAAGACCGCGCCTGAAGAGGGTAGAGGGAGGATGAACAGAAGCGGGATAGGGAGGGTAGAGGGAGGGTAGAGGGAAGGTAGAGGGAGGGTAGAGGGAGAGTAGAGGAGGGTAGATGAGGGTAGAGGGAGGGTAGAGGAAGGGTAGAGGGAGGGTTGAGGAGGGTAGAGGAGAGTAGAGAGAGGGTAGAGGGAGGAGGGTAGAGGGCAGAGGGTAGAATGAGGCGGGATCTAGTAGCGGCCCTCCGCTCATGTCCGCACACCCTTCACACGGACCGTGCCCCCCAGGGAGCGTGGACCCTGTTGGGCTGTCTTCGCGCCCTTTAGGGGTTCTCTTAGCCCGTCCTGAGGGCGCAGGTCCAGAGCACTCTCGGGAGGCCCCAATTACCAATGGGGGACTGCAGTCTCTGGGCTAGGGCCCCGGACCTCGTCAGCTTCCTTCTCTTCCCCCCTCCGCCGCCACAGAGGAGAAAGAAGAGGAACAGCATGTAGGAGGGAGCAGGCAACAGGGAGGAAGAAGAGGACGAGCAGGAGGACACAGGACTGAGCTGAACAGCGCAAGAGGAAGGAGAGAGGAGGGAAAGAAGAGGGGGGAAGATGGAGAAGCGAGGAGAAGGAAGGCGAGATGAGCACCAGGAGGAGAATCAGAAGAGACAAGCAAGAGCGGTATGCTGAACATATACATCTTGCGCACCGCCCTGCGATGGGTGCAACTGCAATGGAGGGGGGCATGAGGAGGAGGAGCAGGAGGAGGAGGAGAGGAGAAGGAGGAGGAGGGAGAGAAAGGAAAAAGGGGGAGAAGGGAAGGGGGGAATGCGAAGAGAAGAGAACGACGTCGAGGAAGAGACGCTTATGGATGCTGGGAGACTGCTGCGAAGAGGACGAAGAATAATCATGATGATTAGGGCAAGAGGGGCATGGGGGAGCAGAAGGATGGGCATGAGCAGGGATTATTGACGACGTAGAGCAGAGGGGGGACAGACAGGAGGGGACACGGCGCCCCTCGTCCACGCGTGCCTTTCATCCAAGACGCCTACGGCGAATCACCGCCGCCCCCTGCCCCTTTGGAAGCGTCTCTGTGGCCGACAGCTGGGCCAGAGCTTGGCCAAGCTATCGGGCCAGTTGTTTCCCGAGTCGGTTTGGAAAGACTTCGGGGAAAGCATGGGGGAGCAAGAAGAGGAGAAGCGGGAGGGTGCGGAAAAAAGGAGGGCACTCTTGGGGCCTCCTGGGAGCTTCCCGGGGGCATCTTGGAAGGTTTTGGGGCTGACGCCGTCGGAAGCCGTCTTGGGGGCCTGTCTGGGTCGTCTTGGGGCCTTCTTGGGGCATATCAGGGGTTCTGAGAGACCATCTTGGGCGTCTTGGAGGCCTCTTGGGCCGTCATGGGGCCATCTTGGAGGCCTCGTGGGCGATCTTGGAGGCCTCTTGGGTGATTTGGGGGGCCTCTTGCGCCGTCTTGAGCCGTCGGAATGCCGAGAATAAGCATGTGACAAAATCTGTCAAAAACCTCAGAAACAAATCAATGGTTTGGGCCTCTTCGTGCCCTCCTGGTAGACCTCCTGGACGCCTTTTGAGCCGTCTTGGAGGACTCTTGGGGGCCTCTTGGGCCGTCTTGGGCCATCTTGAGGCCATCGTAGGCCGTCTTGGGTGCATCTTGGGCCGTCTTGGAAGCATTTTGGGGCCATCTTAGCCGTCTTGAAGGCCATGATGGCCGCCTTGGAAGTCTGTTGGGCCCTCTTGGGGCCCTCTTGGGGGCCTCTTAGGCCGTAATGGGGCCATCTTGGAGGCCTCGTGGGCGATCTTGGGGACCTCTTGGGCCGTCGTGAGCCTTCGGAATGCCGAAAATAAGCAAATGCCAAAAGCCTTCAAAAAACCTTAGGAAAATCAACGAGTTGGGCCCTCCTGAAGGACCTCTTGGAGGTCTCTTAAGCCGTCTTGAAGGCCTCTTGGGGACCTGTTAGGCCGTCTTAGGCCATCTAGACGCCATCTCAGGCCGTCTTGGGTGCATCTTGGGCCGTGTTGGAGGCATCTTGGGGCCATCTTAACCGTCTTCGAGGCATCGTGAGCGTCTTGGAGGCCTCTTGGGCCGTCTTGGGGCCCTCTTGGGGTCATCTTGGGGGCCTTTTGGGCCGTCATGGGGCCATCTTGCAAACCTCTTGGGCGATCTTGGGGCGATCTTGGGGGCCTCTTGGGCCGTCGGAAGGCCGAAAAGGCGGAAATGCCAAAATCCGGAAAAAAAAAAAAAAAACAAAAAAAAAAAAAAAAAAAAAAAAAAAAAAAAAATGATTCGGGCCTCTTCGGGCCTTCCTGGAGGACCTCTTGGAGGCCTCTTGGGCTGTCTTGGAGGCCTCTTGGGGGCCTGTTGGGCCGTCTTGGGCCATCTGGACGCCATCTCAGGCCGTCTTGGGTGCATCTTGGGCCGTCTTGGAAGCATTGTGGGGCCATCTTAGCCGTCTTGGAGGCCATCTTGGCAGCCTTGGAGGCATCCTGGAGGCCATGTAGGGCCATCTTGAGCGAAAAATTGGGGGATTGAGGTCCTGGGCAATCTTTCTGGGACCCCGGCGGGCTGGGTCGAAGACCCAGGGGAGTTCTTTTGGAAAAAAACGAAAAGATCCAGCACGCCAGGCACCCCTGTAATGAATCAACAGGGGGCGGCGGATAGTGACCTCCGGCCCATCCTGCCACCGTGCCTGGGTTCTTGGTCAGAGACCGCTGGATTCCTGCTGGGATCTGTTTGGAAGTCTCCAGGCAGCCTTCTGGAGGCAAGTGTAAAGTCCCTTGGGGGCAGTTGGGGGCCCTCTTTTGGGCATCTGGGGGGCCCCTCTGGAACAATACTCGGCCATTTTGAGGCCTTCTTGGGCCGTCTTGTGGCCCTCGCTCGTGGGCCCGAGACGGCGAAAACCTTGAACACCACCAGCAACTGCAGAAAAATGACTGTGTGCTGGCCCCTTCGGGCCCCCTTGTGGGGTCTTCTTGAAGCTCTCTGGGGGGCCATCCTGGGGCCCTTGTGGGTGCTTCTTGGCCGTCTTGGAGCTCTCTTGGGGACCTCTTGAGTGGCTTTTGAGTAGGAGGCCACATGCGAACCCTGCCCCACCACCCCCCTTAGAAATCGTGGGGTGCTAGCGTAGAGTTCGCACGTGGCCTACTATTGGGGCCCTCCTGGGGCTTTTTCTTGGGCCGTCTTGGGGCCCTCTATAGCATTCTGGAAGCTCTTTTGGAGCTTCCTTGGAGGCCCCTTGGGCCGTCTTCTGGCGACTTGTGGCGCCTCCTGAGCTGTCTCGGGCCGTCAGAAACCCGACAAGGCGAGAACCCTGAACACCGTCAAAAGCCAAAGGGAAATCCATGTTGTCGGTCTCCTCACGCCCACCCTCTTGAAGCCCTCTGGGGCAGTCCTGGGCCCTTCTGGGCCGTCTTGGGGTGGCTTTGGCCGTCCTGGGGCTCTCTTGGAAGCCTCTTGGGGTTCTCTTGAGGCTCTCTTGGGAACCTCTTGGGGCTCTCACGGGTCTTTTTGTTTAAACATCCACGCGAATGCAGCCCACGTACGCCCCCAGAGGTGAGCGATTCCTCTGGGGGCGACGATGAGCTCCACAGCTGCACCAAAGGACGGCTGGAAAAATAAAAACTGGTGGATGGGGAGGTGCTGCAGCTCCGCACGTGCGCCGCCCGAATCGAGCAGGCGTCGGAGCAGGGCAACCATCCGACCCGAGCTGCTTGGCGCGCCGCGCAAGGCGAGGGCGCGAGGCAGGGCGAAGAAAAGATAGCAATGCCTGGCACTTCGAAGAGAACCAAAACAAGGATTCGGCACCCCTGGTCGCGGGCTGGCGCAGCATGCTGCTAGTGCTTGCTCGCACGCATCCTGCAAGCGGCATGGTTGGCTTGAGTACCTCCGCTGCGTGGACAACCGTGCAGTAACCGTCTGGGGAGTTGGCGTCTCATCAAAAAGCCAAAGGGAAAACCGAATTCTAGAATCTAGGCACCCAGGTCGTTGCATGTGCCCTTGCACTAGCAAAAATGACCTGCACTCTGTCTCGCCTGGCCAGAGCCAACATCACGGCAATCGCGCTCCAAACGGTCCCGGGTACAAAAAAATGGCGGGCTCCCCGGACTCAGTGCTTTGGATATCGACAGACCAACAGATCTTTCGGCCCACCACTGCGGAGTCCTACCTCAGACCATGAGACATGGGACGGCAAGACACGCGCCTAGCGGGAGAAGACGCTCCAACAGGGCCGGGCGGCCAGGTTCGGCGCGCACCGGTCCGGCAGCCCCAGAGGCCGCCCCCAGAGCGAACGTTCTCCGCGCGGGCGGCCAGAGAAGACGAGGAGCAGGAGGGGGCGAGAGGGCGGCAGAAGCAGGCGGCGATCAGACAGACAGTCGATTTCCAACGGTCGGATGACGGTGCTGTGTGAAGGGAGATGGTTCGCGAGCTCCCCCTCCCCCCTGTACCTCTACCACCCACCCACCATCCTGTCGTTATTGCACTCTGAGGTGCAAGCCAGCTGGTGCAGTATGTGTGGTGCCAGGTTGTACACAACACAGGTGGCGCGCGCTGATTGGGCACAAAGCTTGTGCGCAAGAGAACAGTCTCTAACTCACAAAGTGGCCCTGGCAGAGGTTGGAAAATCTAGAAATAGCGGCGCACACGCGCCAGCGCACCCAGGTCAAAGGCTTGAGGCTTACGAAAAATGGAACGGGGAACTCCCACGTATGCACACACGACTGTCTTGCTGGCTAAGTAAGCAATGGGCCGAGAGGCACAATTGACAGTTGTCGTAGCAGAATCGCGCGGCGCCGACTCGGCCTCATGAGGCACACGGAATGGCTCCCTTGCAAATGGCCTCCTTCCAGAAGACCCTATTGGCAGGACACCGCCGCCAGCTCGTCCTCCGTATCCTGGGACCCTACCGAGTACCTCCTGTACGACCTGCTGGAGAAATGCAAGGAGAAGGTCACGGAGATGGCCCTGCCGCTGGAGTGATCCCCGAAACCACGATACCCGTCCGCGTCCTTCACGAACCGCCAGCAAACCCTCTCGTCACAGAAGTAAACGAATGCGAACCCCCTGTTCAGCTTTCTGTTGCCCTTCCCGACGCGCGTCGGCATGTTGAAAGCGGTGACATCGGATCCAAAACCCAGCTGCGAAATCACATCGAGCACGTCCTCTTCTCTGCATCTACTGGGCAAGTTCTTGATGATCCCCATGGCCCTTGACCTGGCGGCGTATGGACTGGTGCGCATGCAGGGGAAGACCTTCGCCAACGCCGTCGTGTTCGCTTCGTCTCCGGCGGCACCTTGGCACACCGCGCCCTCCTGCAACTTCAAGCCTCCATCCTCCCAGGGCCACACAGGTATGTACGCAACCTCCTCTGGCGCCAGTGGCGGGTAAGAGGCGTGACGCGCAGGGCGGATTTGGGGATTGATGTCGTCCACCCGCGCGGGGTGCATGCTCCTTGTGGCAGGGCACGGGGAACGTCACATAAACAGGCCACTCGGGAAGCTTGAGCCCGAATGCCTTGAGCCAAATGGGCCAGCTTGGGGCGTTGTCAGGCCGTCTTGGAGCCTTCTGGGGGCATTTGAGGCTATTTGGGGCCCACTTGTGGCGCCTCCTGGGCCGTCTTGGAGCGTCGGGGGCCCGAGAAGGCGAAAACCTTACACACCACCAACAATGTAGAACAACGAATCTGTTTGGCCTCGTCGGGGCCTCTTGAGGGCTCCTCTTGAGGTGCTCTTGGGGCTCTCTGGGGGCCATCCTGGGGCTCTACCGAGCCGTCTTGGAGCTTTCTCGGGCCATCTTGGGGCTCTCTTGGGCTCTCTTGAAGCTCTTTTGCGCCTTCTTGGGGCTTCCCTGGAGGCGTCTTGGTCGTTCGCAAGCAAGCCACCTCACAAGAAATTCTGCTATGGATGATTCCGTCGGAAGCTCCTAAAGCGCTACAAACCTTCGAATGCATGAATGCATTGAGCTGCTCGACCCCATGAGAACGAGCTGCTGGATCTCCGCCCAACACTAGCAAGGTGAGTGCGGTTCCCTTGGAGGCCTTTTGGGCCGTCTTCGGGCGACTTGTGGCGCATCCTGGGCCGTCTTGGGCGGCCCGTCGAAAACCCGAAAAGGCACGAACCCTGAAAACCTTCAAAACCTTGAAGCTATAATCCCACCAGCCCTGTAGGCTTAGGTGGTTTAGCTAACGTTGTTTGCTTTCTTTCCACAACCCCTCCGTCCCCTGCTCGGGGGAGACGCTTACCCCCCCCCCCCCCCACCCCTTCCCATGGGCCTGGGAGGGAAGGGCGCGAGACACTAGAGCGCCCAAGATGGCCCAAGATGGCCCCAAAAAGGCATCAGAGAGCCCAAGATGGCGCCCAAGATGGCTCAAATGAGATGAAGATGACTCAATATAGCTTCCCACATACATCGAAGACGGCCCGAGACGGCCCCAAGATGTCTTCAAGTGCCCTCCACGCTCTCCAGTGGTACCCCCAAGAAGCCAAAATGGCCCCCCCAAAAATTGGGGAAATCAGTGATGTGTGCGTTCTGGTTTTTTCGATTCCGATGGGCTTCCGAGGCCCCAACATGGCCCCAAGACGGCCCAACAGAGCCCAAAGAGGAGCCCAAGAGGGCCCCAGGAGGGCCCCAAGAGCGCCCAAGAGCACCCTCATAGCGCCCCCGGAAAACCCCAAGAGGCAACGCTTGAGCCTCCGATGGGGGGGTGCCTGACTTGAAGACCCCCCCTTTTTGTTTAGCTACGGGGGCCACGACGGCCCCGAATGACCTGTCCGACCCGCCCAAAAGGCCCACAGAGGACCCCAAGATGGACGCCAGCTCCCCCGAGAGGGCCCCAAAGGGCCCCAAGAGGACCACCAGAGAGCCCCAAGATGGCTCCAAGAGCCCCCCAAAAACATCTCACACCAACGCTTCAAATCGATTGGCAAACTGTTTCTGGATGGGCTGGTGGGGCTACTTTTTTTGATCGCGAGCGCACCGGAGGACACCGGACGCCCTCAAAGGTCGCAGCAGGCAAACTGCGAACGAATTGCGCACCAGGAGGAGAGGGAGGCGACGAGAGGACAGCAGGGGGAGGAACTAACAGGGGGCGGACCTCACTGCCGCTCAGAAGAAGGCGCCGTCGACTGGGGTGGAGTCACCAAGCAGACTGCATAGCCAAAATAGCGGGGGACTCTGGTTGAACGACACCGCGACTGAGCTGAATACAGGGACCACCACCGATCGCACCACGAGGACCAAGTAAGGACCACGGCCACTCCATCGCTCGGTGGCCGTCGAATCACACGCAATGTTAGGCGTCGACCAACTCCACGCAGGCGCTCGACAGACCAGAGTCCGGATCACCAGACACTGCCAGGGACTGGCGTCGAGACCGCGCGCCTCAACGCGGGGGGCGTGGGCAGGCGCACGCGCGCCGGGATGGGAAAGTGAATCCCGCTCGGTGACCGACGGGGAGGCAACCGCACGGTGGGAGGTGACCGAGTGGTCATCCTGTTCCAGGTCGGCGAGGGACGCCGTAGACCAGGGGCCGCGGGGCTGAAGAGGCCGAGGCGGAGGGGCAGCAGAGGCGGGCAAGCGAAGGCGCAGGCGGCGTCAAGGGACGCCCCGGGCTCGGGCGGAACCTGATTATCCAGCGAGCGCACTCGCGGCTGCCAAAGCTGCCGCCGAGGGACGCTGAGCGGCGCCAGGGGCTGAAGGCAGGCAGCAGGAGCTGCGGGGTGGGCCGGGCGGCCGAAGTGCAGCCATCCCAACAGAGGCGAGACCACGCTGGTGGGACTTTTTTCCGTCGCGGCCGCAAGCGAAGGCGCAGGCGGCGTCAAGGGTCGCCCCGGGCTCGGGCGGAACCTAAATATCCAGCGAGCGCGCTCGCGGCTGCCTAAACTGCCGCCGAGGGACGCTGAGCGGCGCCGGGGGCTGATGGCAGGCTGCAGGAGCTGCCAGGTGGGCCAGGCGGCCGAAGCGCAGCCATCCCAGAGGTGAGACCACGCTGGTAGGATTTTTCCCATCGCGGCCGCAAGGGAAGGCGCGGGCGGCGCCCGAAGCCCGGGCTACGAGCCAAACCTAATTACCTAAGCGCGCAAACTAACGGCCGCCGAAACTGCCGCCGAGGGACGCCGAGGAGCGACGCTGGGACTGAAGGCAGAGAGCTGCAAGAGGTGCCAGGTGTGCCAGGCGGCCGAAGTGCAACCATTCCAGGGGCGAGACCACTGGAAAGGCAAACGAATAAAACCTTGTCGCAGTCGGCGCCAGAGGTACACCAGCCACCCGAGCAAAGCACGGCATAGCGCGGGGCTGAGCAAACAGCCCATCGCACTTGCGTCGCACGCCAACAGTGGCAACCTCAGGTGGTTGAACAAGAAAGCTAAACCACTCATGGGCAATCCACGTGGAGGTGCATCCCTTCATCGCAAGGCGGCAGCTGCAAACACGGCCAGGCCGTGGCAGTGTCTGGGGACCATGGGCCAGGAACATGCGAGCATGATAGCTGGAACTGGTCGACGCGCAAGTCACCGGGGCGCCAGGGCAACCGCACCAGGCTCACAAGAGCCAGCACGGACACCAACAGACGCCAAGGATTGATGGCGAAAGCCCGGGGGCCGCAACCAGGCCGCGGTCGGCGGCGGGGCGGCGGTGGCCAGGGAAGACCAGGCGGCGCCAAGAGGGGCGGCGCAGCAGGCAACTAAAGGCTGAGAACGCCCCAGGCAAAGTGCTAGCGGCGCGGCATGCGCGAGTCTAGCGACGCCACGAAGGGGGGGCCAGCTCGCCAGGGATACCAGGCCAGGCCGTGGCCCGGCGAGGAGAAGACCACAGCGAAAACAACAACAGCAAACGGCCAGGGCCGCGCGGCGGCGCGCTGCGCCCCGCCCCAGCAACGGGCATCGTGCCAGGCACCGACAGCGCCGTGGAGCCCGATCCCCAAGGGCGGGGGGCGCAGCCAGGCGCAGCGCAGGGACCGCCCCTGGACGGCAGGGGGGCCAACTCACCAGGGGCACCAGGCCAGGCCGTGGCCGGGCGCGGGAGAAGGCCAGGGCGAAAACAGACGGCCATGGCCGCGCGATGGCACGCTGCGCCCCGCCCAGGCGAGGGGCATCGCGCCAGGTATTGACAGTGCCATGGAGCCTGATCCACAGAGGCGAGGGGCGAAGCCAGGCGCAGCGCAGGGGCCGCCACCGTTCGGCGGAGGAAGAGAGATGGGGGGGGAGCGGCGCCAGGAAACGCAAGCGGCTAACGGCCACACTGTCAGTTGGCACAGAGAAAGGGAGGGAGGGATGGGAAACGCAGAACGCGATGCCAAAGAGTGAGTGCTGGCACTGAGGTGGCTAACGGCCACGCTTTCTAGTCTCTGGTGTCCGGCTAAAGGCCATGCCTCCAGGCGACGTTCCTGGCGCATCCAGCGACTGTGCCAGGGAAGACCGCGCCAACTTGGACCGCTCGCCGTCGTGGTCTGCACCGTCGCTGCGCCGTCTGCCTCTCGAACCTCCGTCATGCCAGTCATAGTCGCGCTGGCGCTGCCCTGAGCCGCGCCAGGGCCACCCCTCCCAAGGATCCCAGGACTGGTGCTGGGAGCCAGAGCTCCGCCCCTTTGACCGATGGGACCCCTTGCCAGAGGTCGCCGCGATGTGCCCCCCACGCACGGCAGGCCAGTCGATGTCGAGCCCCAGCTGCCGATCCATCGCGCAGGCGCCGAAGCCGCACCTGCGCCAGGCGCCCAGGAAGCCCTTGCACGTGGACTCGTCTTTCCGGAACAGGCTGGAGAGGATGTGCGACGCCGCCAGATTTCGGCCCACCAATGGCCGACCGGGACGATCCAGGCACCACCGGAACGCACCCAGCGAGGCGCAGCTGCAAGAGGACAGGGCCACAGGAAACGCAAGTGGCTAACGGCCACACAGCAAGTAGGAACAAAGAAGCGGGGGGAGGGAGGGGAAACGCAGAACGAAAAGCCAGGAAATGGTGGTTGGCACTGAGGTGGCGAACGGCCACACTTTCTGGTCTCTGGCGTCTAGCTAACGGCCATGCCTTCTGGTGACGTTCCTGGCGCATCCAGCGACTGTGCCAGGGAGATCACGTCCACTTGGGCCGCTTGCTGTCGCGGTCTGCGCCGTCGCTGTTCCGTCTGCATCTCTTGCCTACGCCATGCCAGTCACGGTCGTGCCAGAACTGCCCTGAGCCTTACCAGGACCCCCCTCCCAGGAATCCCAGGACGGGCGCTGGGAGCCAGAGCTCCGCCCCTTTGACTGATGGGACCCCTGGCCAGAGGTCGCACCGATGTGCCTCCAACGCACGGCAGGCCAATCGACTTTGAGCCCCAGCTGCCAATCCATCGCGCAGGCGTCGAAGCCGCATCTGCGCCAGGCGCCCAAGAAACCCTCGCACGTAAACTTGTCGTTCATGAAGGGGTTGCTTCTGGATTTCCCTTTGGCGCGGATAGGGTGCTGCTGCGCATGGCCGTGCCAGATCCTGTTAAACAGGCCTCCTAGACGTTTCTGGAGGCGCGCGATCTTCTCGGCTGGGCCCTCTCCGCGGCGATCCAAGTCGACGTTGCCCCGGTGCTCACGGTGCATGCTCTCGCTTGCAACGGGATCCA